CAGGAAGTACACAAAGTACAGAGGTTACACACAGGAAGTACACAAAGAATATACAGAAAAACACAACGTCCACAGTAATGTCCTCAGACAAAGAGATCGTGCACGGGCCGAGGCTAAAACACAAAACTGGAGCTGACTGGGTTCACTTTCATCAACTTCACAATAAATGTACGTGTAAAATTAAAAAGTGTCAAAGTTTTATTGATCAGAAACCACCAAAAGTCTAAAGGATCCAAAGAAGTTCTGGAATACGGTGGGATCTGCTCCTGGTGGTCTGCCTTCTAGACAAAAGACAAACTTCTTGTTCACAGTCTGCAGACCTGACTGGTGAACGTGAAATGACTTTAATGAACATTTGATTGAACTCCTCTGACTCTGATCCACCAGTGGAAACCAGTGCACCTGCTGAAAATGTGTTTGATGTGACACAGGTGTGTGTCTGTGAGGTGCGTGCTGCGCCACAAAAACCACCTGGTCCAGAAGGTCTGGACACCTCCTTTCAAATTACCAGCTGATTTCATCCATGAGCTTTAACTTGTGTTTTTAATCTGAGCCTCGTCTCAAACAAACTTCCTGCATTTGTTCTTCTATTAAAAACAGGTGAGCCATCAATCGTGATCAATTATAGACCTATCTGTAAATTATAGATTTTAACCAAACTCTTTGAACAGTTCAGCTTTTAGAAACAACGACTCTTTGAAATCAGGTTTTAGGAGCAGCTGCTGCTCTGCAAGTTTTATTGATCCATCCAAGGCATTTGATTGATTATTGATCCATCCAAGGCATTTGATTGATTATTGATCCATCCAAGGCATTTGATACGGTGGATCACAGGATCCTGGTAAATATTCTCCTCAAACTGGGCATCTTCAAAGAAGCATCTTACTGGTTTGAGGATTATTTAGCAAATAGAACACAGTGTGTACAGATGGCTGGAATAAGATCAAATGTAAAAAAAAAAAAAGAAAAGGGCGTACCCCAGGGCTCTGTCTTGGGGCTCATCTTATTTACAATTTACATTACTGCACTGTGTGAAAATGAGCAAAATGCCTCCCACCACTTTTATGCTGATGACTGTGTAATTTACTGTTGTTCAAATTCAATTGATCAGGCACTTAAATTCTTACAGGCTGCTTTTGATGAGGTGCAGATTCATCTTGAGCAACTAAAATTGGTCTTAAATGCTGATAAATCTAAAATAATGTTTTTTATTTAATTTGTCAGTTCCATTGCAGAATATCCCTCTAATAAAAACTGCCCAAGGTAAAGTTCTCGAGAGGGTCTCCAGGTATAAGTACCTGGGCTTAATTATCGACGAGAGCTTTCTTTATATTTCATGTGAAACACCTAATCTCCAAATGAAGGTGAAGCTCGGGTTCTTCTTCAGAAACAAATCATGTTTCTCCCGTAGAGCTGAAGCTTCTGATCACGGCTACTTTGGTACCAGTACTTGACCATGGAGATGTTGTCTACATGTGAACTTCAAACAGTCGTCTAGTCCTTGAATCCAGTGGACCATTGTGCATTAAGATTTATTACTGGTTATCTTACTCCTCACTGTGATCTCTGATTTAAAACCAGTATGTCCTCCCTGTATAACACTGGATGACTCTGGTGGACACGTCTCTCGTGGACCTGCTTCACATTATTTATGTACTTTTATTCAAAGAATGGACAGAAGTCACGCCTCACGCTCTGAGGACTGTTTGCATCTTCATGTTCCTCGTGTGCGACCAGAAAAAGGTCAGAAAGATTTGAACTTTTCTGCCCCTTCAGCTTGGAGCTGAACTAAAACGGTCATTGTTTTAAATTGTTATTATTACAACTATTGCTGTCACACTGTATGTCTTTATATGTTTCTAAGCATCTTCTTGTCTTGTTTTTATGACGTGCGCTGCTGCCTGTTCTTGGACAGGTCACTCGATCTTGAGCTCAGTGTTTTAAATCTGGTTAAATAAAGGTTTAAAAAATCTGATGTGTAACAACCTCATTTATTTTTCTGTCTCAAGAACATCTGGATGAATTTTAATGAAACGTTCAATTCATACTCATCAGATTTTGATCTACAGATTATTAACTTTTAGAGTCAACTGGATTCAAGATGGCCGCCACAGCTAATCAACCTTAAAACAAAAACAGTTCTACCAGTCAGTTTTACTGGTGAGGTAAAACTGGGTGTGGAGGTAGCTGAGAGTTACCCCCAACACAAACTAAGAAATACTCACCTTTGCCTAAAACTTTGACCCTAACTTTTGCCTGTTAGCAAAATATCTTTTGATGAAACCAACAAAACTTCTCGGTGGTCTGTCATCAACAGGTCGGCTGATTTAAAAGATCTGAGCTTTAAATCAAAATGGATCTGACTGACAGCGATGAAGATAATCAGAGCTCCTCTACCTCTGCGGACACTCGAGCGTCCTCCAGATGGAGGCGTGGCCAAACTGCCGGGTGCCTGGCAACAAACCACCAATCAGAGCACACCTCAGCCGCACGCAGCCGCGAGAGCACGTCCAAATATGGGAAGATGCAGAAAAGCCCCGCCCTCATCCTCAGGGTGTCCGCCCCCAGGCGTTGCCTGTCACCATGACAATGAGAGGGGGTGGAGCCAAGAGAGGAGGACGTGTCTGAGAAGGAAGAGACAAATAGAGCTTTTATTTTGAAACAACAGGAAGTGGCTCAAACTGCAAGACAAAGATAAAAGTTGAAGTTGCACCTGATCCAGGAGTGTTGATCCGGGCCGAGACGAGCCTCCTCATCTCAGTGCTGCTCCACAAACCCTCCTCCTCCTCCTCCTCCTCCTCTTCCTCCTCCTCCTCCTCGGTGCTGTGGTGACGAAGGTGTCTTTGACTCCACGTTCTCCCCCATCCTTCCTCCTCCACCCTGAAAACACAAGACGAGGAGCAAAATCCAGATGAATTCTTCAGAGGAACCGGATGGAGTTTTCCAGAGATCTGAGACAGAGACAAATGTCCACCGTCCAGCAGGACATATTGCCGAAGGACACCGGTTTAAAGAGAACCAGGTTATGGTCCTGGAAAGTCCAGATCTGAGTCCAACTGAAATCCTCTGGTTTGATCGTTAGACACAAATGGCACCTGTCCAACCTGAAGGAGCAGGAGACGTTTGGACACGAGGACAGGACCGGATGTTCAGGTTGGACAGACCAGGATCATGGAGATGGACCTGAGAAGACCTGATTCCATTATCCTGGATGAACATCTGGTTTCACTTGCTGTCCTCTAAACGGTCCCGTCTCCAACATTTGTTTTGACGTCACGTTTGGACCCGATTCTACAAAAATAATCTGGTTTTTAATCACGTACCAGAAGACCCTCTGCCCACCTCCTCCTTCTGGTCCGGTCCAGGATGAAGCATAGTGGGACGGGTGGAGGTGGGCCCACCCCCCTGAGCCCAGAGACAAGGTCCTCATGTGTTCAGTCAGAACGCTGGAAGAGACGACCCGGGTCAGATTCTGTTGGGATCATGGTTTCAGAGGTGGAGAACTTCTAACGAAAACGTCTCATTTCTTGATTATTAGCGTTAATATGTATTTTAATATATATGTTTAATATTTATTTTTAATATTTCTAATAATATTTTAATATTTTTTATATTTGTTATTTTTATTTTTAATGCTTAATCTTTTATTTTAATATATATATTAATAATTTAAATATTTAGTTTGTATTTTTATCTTTATTTGAATATTTTTAATATTTATTTGAATATTTTTAATATTTAATTTTTATTTTTAATATGTATTTTAATATTTTTAATCTTTTTTATTTTTATTATTTATTTTAATATTTTTAATGTTTAGTTTTTATTTTTATCTTTATTTTAATATTTTTTATATTTATTTTGATATTTTTAATATTTTATTTTTATTTTTGTTGTTCCCGTGAAACAGTTTAAAGAGTTTCTTATTTGGACTTTGGTCGTTTGGAGGGCAATGAGATCCGGATCAGAGGTTTTTAAAGGGACTGGGGTACCTGCAGTGACGGGTCTGAAGCTGCTCTCCGAGTCCAGAGGAACCTGAGACGCTGCAACATCTCTGGAAAACAACCACGGAGGCAGAAACGTAGTTGGAGCGACATCCGAACCTTTTGAAGAGTAGAAATAAACTAATGTAAAGTTTTCTCCACCCTGTTCCCAACGGTTTCCTGCAGCTTGCTGCTGATGTCATCAGCTGATCCATGGTCCGCCCCTGGTCCCAGTCCGGGTGAGACCTCCTCTGGATGGGTGAATGGTTCGGGGGACAGGAAGTGGTTCTGACTGAGCAGCAGTAAGTGCCTCTCAGCGCGCTCGGCCCGGTCCAACAGCGTCTCGATAAAAAGCTGAAATCAGAAGGAACAGAATTTACTGCAGCCTGCCTTCAACGCTCCGGGCCTTAAACCGGGTCAGAACCAGGAGGTCCGCAAGTACCTGCAGTCGGGATTTGGCTTCAGCTTCTTTCTCGGCTGTTTTCCTTAGAAAAAGTTCGACATCGGCCATTTCCCTGAGAAGCACAACACATTTTGATCATTATGTGACCGTCCGTCCAGCCGAGGATCAGCTTCAAGGAGATCTGTGGAGATCCTGCAGAGATCCTGCAGAGCACCGAGCTGGTGACAAGTGGATTTATTCACAAATCAAGTCATTAATTCCTGATCTCTCCTGATGATTATCTGTGTTGATAACACTACCTGACACTGGTGTTCCACAGGGCTGTGTGCCATCACCACTTCTCTTTATACACATGAGTTGCAACATAAAAACAAAGACTTCCCATTAACTAAGTCTGCTGATGATATGGTCCTAGTCCTGGTCTGAAAGACACCAACAGCCCCTCCTAGTCCCAGTTCATAGACCAGCTCTCTGACTGGTTTGATGACAGTTTTCTGGACCTTCATGTCAGTAAAACCAAGGAGCTCTGTCTGGGAGGCAGAAGGACAGCAGCCAGAACCAGACCTGGTCTGTCAGGAAGTAGAGCAGGTGACTGAGTTTAAATACCTCGGAACAATAATGACAACAAGTTGACCTTTGACCCCAACACTGACTGTATTTACAAACAGCCAGACAGCGTCTCCACCTTCTGTATAAGCTGAGGAGCTTTAACACAAACAACATTATCTTGTAATCAGTGCACAGGTCACTGGTTAAAGTGTTGTCTCATGGTATGGGAACCTCCCATCCAGAGACAAGAACAAGTTGTTCTGGGTGGTCCAACTGGTATCACTGGTCATCAACAAAACAGTCAGGTTCTGGAATAAAGTCAGTCCAGGTTCACAATGAGACAACTCTTCCACTGCAACTATTATTCAGGTTGGAACCATCAGAAGACTGCTGGTTCCACTGGGGAAGATAAATAGAAAAAAGGTCATTAGTTCCCAGGTCCTGTTTAAACACAGCCTCACATGATGCCTCACATGATGCCTCACATGATGCCTCACATGATCCCTCACATGATGCCTCACATGATCCCTCACATGATCCCTCACATGATTCCTCACATGATGCCTCACTAGATGAACCATCGTCTGCTCAGATGTTTTCATGTTTATACATTATTAAAGTCTTATGGCATTTTTTAACTTGTGTTGTTTTTTATGAGCCAGATGTCAAAGACAGATCTCCATCTCTTGGAATGTTATGGACAATAAAGTTTTATTGATCGATCAATTTATTGATTGATTGTTCGATCAATTGATTGATTGATTGATTGATGTTTTCCTTGAAGGAAATGTACTTTTCTAAGCAGAAAACAACAACTAGCCTGACCTTTAGCTTCTTTCCTACGTGCTAACGTTCTTTTCCACATCAGCTGGAACATCAAGACATTAAATGTGGTTCGAGGTCACGAGACAATCAGACATGAAACCTCAGCATCTGACCTGAACATCCACAAGGCCCCGAGGAGCCAGGCCTCGCTGTCATCCTGCATCTCCATCAACATCCCACCGCAGAGCAAAGTGTGTCAGCGAGACGCTAACAGAACCCGACGTGTCCTCAACACGACACTCAGCCTTTTGCTTCTGGACGTGCAGAACAGAAAGACAGTTTGTCCCAAACTCCAGTGTTGGGTTCTCTGTCCTCGTCCAGGAGTGTCCCAGTGCTCCATTTCTAATCTGAACGTCTTGGTTCCGTCTCGGTTCTGGGTGGCATTCTGACCAGCATCATTTCCTTGTCTCTCGCTCTTCTCACTCTGAGGTCAGTGGAGATAACTCCAGGGCCAGATTCCTTGGGGGTCTGATCTAAAGTCAGGTGTCAACACCACCGCACCAACCCTGGGGTTCTCCAGGAACACCTCAGATACAGAACCGTCCAGGTCCCAGACTTCTAGGAGCGGGACCCAAGTCTGAAATGACGTGGAACCTTACGGTTTGTTACTTGGGAACATATTTTGCCGGTAAGGCCTTCGAACTGGTTCACACTTACACCAAGGTCCAAGACATCCTGATGCTGCTCAATAATCCAGGTAGAAAAATCCAAAAAAGTTCAATCTGGTCCTCTGGACATTCAAAAGAACAAAAAACAAAACAAAGCAAAAAAAAATGTAGAAACGTTTCATCTTTCATCCGAGAGACTTCCTCAGTCTGAGGTGCTGTATTCAGCTCAGTCTCTTAAATAGCACCTTCTCAGGGTGGATCAACCAGTTTGCTGCTGACAACCAGAACCAGCTGATCACATGCTCAAGAAGGACCATCAGCTTAACAATGGATCATTAGCACCTGATGGCTGGCTCCAAGACCCACCCTGAACAGTTCAAGTTCAACATTAGACCCTGGAGAAGAAAACTGAACATTCTCTGTACCTTAAACAGAATCCATCCATCCATCCAACATCCATCCATCATCCAACCATCCATCTATCCATCCATCATCCATCCATCCACCCATCTATTTATCATCCATCCATCATTCAACTCTCCATCCAACATCCATCCATCCATCCCACATCCATCCATCAACCATCCATCCATCATCCATCCATCATTCAACCATCATCCATTCATTATCCATCTATCCATCATCCATTGATCTATCCATCCAAACATACATTGATCCATCATCCATCCATCCATCCCTCATCCATTTATCCATCTATCCATCCATCCATCCATCCCTCATCCATTTATCCATCTATCCATCCATCCATCCATCCATCCCTCATCCATTTATCCATCTATCCATCCATCCATCCATCCATCCCACATCCATCCTCTCCTGAGGACTCCAAGGTGTCTCCAGACCAGCAGAGATGTAGTCTCTCCAGCGTGTCCTGGATCTTCCTCGGGGTCTCCTCCCAGCTGGACATGTCCAGAACACCTCCCTATGGAGGCGTCCAGGGTCCATCATTACCACATGTCTGAACCTTCTCAACTGTCTCCTCTGGATGTGGAGGAGCAGTGGTTCTCCTCTGAGTCTCTCCTGATAACTGAACTTCTCCCCCTGTCTCTAAGGGAGAGTCCAGCTACCCTGCAGAGGAAACTCATTTCAACCTCCTGGATCCACAATCTCGTTCTTGCAGTCTCTACCAGAGTTCATGACCAGAGGTGAGGGGAGGAACGTAGACCGACCAGTAAACAGAGAGCTTTGTCTTACAGCTCAGCTGATGTTTGAGTAGTTTTTAAAAATAGAGTTGAGCCCCACCGAGCCCCGTTAGACTCAGAGCTCACAGGATGTTTGTAGTCCGGTGTTTAGGACAGGAACTGGCAAATAATGGAAACAAAACCCTTCCAGGTACCAGACCCAACTCCTTCCATGGGCGTGATGTCTGCAGTTAATGCACTGAGCCTCCAGACTTTGACTGACTGTAGAAATAAATAAAGGAGTTGTTGAGGATACCGACCGGTGGCGCTCGAGCAGCTCATTCTCCTTCTCTGTCAGCTCCTCCTTTAATCGCTCCATCAGCTCCACGGCCGTCGACACCTGCCGGAGCAGGAGAAAATGCTCAGAAACAAACAAAAAATGGTTTATTTCTAAAATTAAACACAATACGGTGATAAAAGTCAGTCACAGCTTGTCTTGGACGGTTTTTGTAGTTTTACAAAACGTTCAACGAGTCTGCTGATGTCACACAGAAACAGAATGTTTAAAACATGTTGACGATGTTCAAAAGGTTTGTTTCTGTAACCAACAGAGTTGTAGTAAGACTTCGCTCAGGTTCTCCCTGGAGACTGTACCTTCCAATGATTCTTGTATTTTAGCTCAAAACTTTTATTCAAAACAGGAAGTGATTATTTCTAATTTGTGGCATCTTCACTGCCGTGAAGGAAACTCACACGTGTGACCAGCGCAGAACCTCCTGACACTCACGCTTCTACACTTTTTCAAATCAGACTCACAGTTTTCACACGCCAACTGTGTGAGGCTTACTTTTTAGTCTGTAGTTTTCGTCTGCCTCTCATTAATTTGGCAGTCGGGGAGTGAGGGGCACAGGTGTGTGGTTACCATGGCAACCTTAATGAGAAGCTTGTGCCCTTTTCTTTGGGTCAGATGTAAGGACTGAAACTGGGAGACAAGTCAACCAAAGTCCAAGACCTTCAGAAGGTCCAGAACTGTTGACCTGGTCCACTTCAAAACATGACAGGAAATGTGGATTGTTGGATCAGGACTTTTGAACAGTCCTGTATGGCTCAACCCACCTGTCTGGACAGGTGAGCTGTCCTCTCCTCCACCTTCTGCTTCTCAGTCCTCAGTCTCTCCCTGCCCCGCCTCTCCTGCTCAAGCTCCGCCTCCCGCCTCTGTAGCTCCGCCTTCAGTCGACGGACGCGGCGGTTCACCCTCTCCTCCACCTCCGCGAACGTCCGGGCGATTTTATGATCCAGCCCCAGTCCCAAACGCTCCTCCAGCCCGATTCCCAGAGACAGTCCAAAGTCCAGACCTAGCTGGACCCCCACCTGGCTCCCAACAGAAGACCCAGCCAGGACCAGAGCGCTAGTCATGTCCTCCAGGGGGCGTTCAGGGGTGAGCAGAGCTCGATCCGATGGGCTGAACATCTCCCTGAGCAGCTGGACGGAGGCGGATGAGGAGGCGAGGTCCAGACAGGCCAGGGAGAGGCTGCGGAGGTCCGAGCCCAGAGAGGAGCTCTTCTTCTGCAGGGGGAGCAGAGCCCGGGGTCTGGAGCTCCTGAGCCGGGCCTGAAACGAGAGGTGCAGTTAGTGCTGGTCCACCAGAGATCCAAGACCTGAATCTGGTTTTTACACCTGAGGAACACAAACATTGATCATCATCAAACACCAAGAGTCCTCGAAATTCCTCGCCTGCAGGGCCATGGGATCAGACCCCGCAGAGTTCCTCCGCCCTCAGAGCGTGTCAGCTACGACTCTCAGCGACTACCACACCCAATCTGAACTCAGTATCTGTAACACTGTTGGCTAGGCTGATTAGCTTCGCCCACCATTTTGAATGAAGTTGACTCACTTTCATTAAAATGTGTCCTTGGGTTCATGAAATATTTTGCTAACAGACAGACCCATGAACGCAGTAAGGCAGGACATGTGCAGATTTATCAAATGGAAACTTCATTAAATAAATTTTAAATGTTTTTTCTCCATCCAGTCTGAAGTCTAAACTATGAGCTGCATCCTTGAGGTCAAAGGTCAAACAGGAAGTAGGAGGGGGGAGGAGCCAGGGGGGCCCATGGTGGCCTTGGCCCCCATAGATTAACCTTCAGCCACCCCAATCATTTGAGGAAACTTTACTTTGAAACAACATAAAAACTAAAAAGCAGAGTTCAGTCAAATGATAGACGTGGTTGCTTTACATAAATATATGGGGCGGCCATCTTAGATTCTGACATGGTGAGACAACTTTTGACTGGAGCTTTTGTTACGCCTCGACGATACGCCTCGACGATACGCCTCGACGTTACGCCTCGACGTTTTGCCTCGACGTTACGCCTATACGTTACGCCTCGACGTTACGCCTCTACGTTACGCCTCGACGTTACGCCTCGACGTTACGCCTCGACGTTACGCCTATACGTTACGCCTCGACGTTACGCCTCTACGTTACGCCTCGACGTTACGCCTATACGTTACGCCTCTACGTTACGCCTCGACGTTACGCCTCAACGTTACGCCTACACGTTACGCCTCTACGTTACGCCTCGACGTTACGCATCGACGCTACGCCTCGACGTTACGCCTCGACGTTACGCCTCGACGTTACGCCTCGACGTTACGCCTCGACGTTACGCCTCGACGTTACGCCTATACGTTACGCCTCGACGTTACG